GAACTGTTTTGGCTGCACCCACCGAGGAATGGATGAGAACTGACTCAAGCGGTGGCGCGATGGGAGCTCACCTGCCTGGTGCTCACACCCTTCTCCTTTCTCCCAGCTCTTGCAGGAGGCCACCATGAGCTCACTGTGGTGCTCGGGCAGCGGGGACGTCATCGAGGACTGGTGCCGCTGCGACTCAAGTGCCTTCGGGGCTGACGGGCTGCCCACCTGCGCACCTCTCCCGCACCCCATGTAGGTCTCCACACATGCCCAGCCTGGGAGGAGGCGGCAATGGCCAACAGCGTGGTGGCACGAGGTGGTGGGGCTGGGGGGGCTTTAGGGAAGGAGCCCTTTGGACCAGCATGCCCAGAGCCAGGAGGGGCAGGAAAGGGAGAGACGCTTCTGTCCTGGGATTGCTCTCTCCATGGGTTAATGGCTTTCAAGCCCTTTAGCTGCGAGAGAGTGATGCAAAACCAGTCCCTACACACTACCTTACAGAAACCATCTCGTTTCTGGTGCCTTTGCATGTGATCTGCACAGCAGAGCGAGTGGCACTAGCAAACACACTTGTGCTGCCTTTTGCACCAGCCGTGGGGACTGGCTGGGGGGGGGGGTGCTCTCTCCATGGGTTAATGGCTTTCAAGCCCTTTAGCTGCGAGAGAGTGATGCAAAACCAGTCCCTACACACTACCTTACAGAAACCATCTCGTTTCTGGTGCCTTTGCATGTGATCTGCACAGCAGAGCGAGTGGCACTAGCAAACACACTTGTGCTGCCTTTTGCACCAGCCGTGGGGACTGGCTGGGGGGGGGGGTCCGAGCGCCCTCAGCACCTCTGACACACTGCGTGCCTCAGCCTGGCAGTTTTGCTGCCTTTTTGTGGCATGGAGGAGCAGCAAGGTGGTGATAGACACGGTGAGGATGAATGCGGGCAGGCAGTGGGGGTGGCCAGTGGACCTTGCCCTCCTGAGATGCTGACTGGCTGGCATTGCCCCCCAGCCTGCGGCTCTCCACCGTTCACGAGCCCAGCAGCACGCTGGTGGTGCTGGAGTGGGGGCACTCAGAGCCCCCCATCGGGGTGCAGATCGTCGACTACCTGCTCCGTCAAGAGAAAGTCACCGACAGGATGGACCACTCCAAGGTGGAAACTGGTGAGTGGGGACTCCGCTGGTTTGCTCTGGGGAGGGTGGGATGGAGATGTTAGAGGAAAGCCTCTGTCTCCCTCTTTGCAAGGGGATGCTGCCATATATCCCTCATCCTGTGGAAGAGGAAGCAGCCCCTGCCCTGCCCGCCATGATGCAGAAGTGGTGGCTCCATGCCATGGTGATGAGCCTTGATGGAAAATCAATGGGTCCATTTCTGTATCAACCTCATGCGTGAGCCTTGGTCCCACTCGGCCCCAGGCAGCGTGGTGGCAGGCACAGCCCTCAGTGGCTCTCCACAGCCCCGGGCACACCTGTGTCATCACCCGCGGTGCGTCCTCCCCTCTATCCCTAGAGACGGTGCTGAGCTTCGTGGATGACATCATCTCTGGCGCCAAGTCACCCTGCGCCATGCCAGCCCAAGTGCCGGACAGGCTCTCCTCCACCATCTCCCTCATCGTTCGCTGCCTGGAGCCCGACACCACCTACATGTGAGTCGCCTCCCTCGTGCCGTGCCCATGGCAGTGCTGTTGCCCTGAGCATGGTGCTCCTGCCTGATGCTGCCTGTCTTTGCGTGAGGGCTTGGGAGTCCAGAGCTTCACCTTTTTCCTTCTTGGCCAGGTTCACGCTCTGGGGAGTCGATAACACAGGAAGACGCTCCAGGTCCAGTGATGTGACGGTCAAGACCCCATGCCCTGTGGTAGATGATGTGAAAGCTCAAGGTGAGATGGAGGGACCTGCTGGACTATGATGCTTGGGACCAGCAACAGGGAGCTCCCTCTTCCGGCGTGTCCCCACACACGTCTCGTGTCCTGGCTGCAGCGTCTCCTTCAGCCTTGGTGGCCCAGATGCTGCCACGTAGTATTGAGGATTGGTGTGGAGGGCGGCGAGAGGCACACATCCTCTCCACAAACGAACGCGGAGGCACTCTGTGCTGGTGGGAGGATGAGTGGAGGGGCAAGCACTCAGGACATACCAAAATAGCCACAAGACCTGCCTGTCCTGCCCAGAAGGCAACTGATAGCATAGGTGGTGTCTGTGCTCAAGAGACCCCAATTGTGTGCCTTCTCATAAATAAATGATATTTCATTAACAGTATCTGATGACACCACTATTTTTTTCCTAATTGGACCAAACTATGTGAACCTAACCTGGACTGAGTCTGGGGAATGCCATCTACTCTGTTGCTCCTCCATTGGGATCTTGTATGCTCTAAATCATGATCCAGGGGACAAATCTTGGCTCTGGTCTTGGTTTCCCTAAAGCTGAACTTTAGCCTGGTGGGCTTTGTTCATGTTTTTCCTTGCACCCTACTGAATACCCCTTGTCCTTCTGCCCAGAAATAGCAGACAAGATCTACAACCTCTTCAACGGCTACACCAGTGGTAAGGAGCAGCAAACAGCTTACAACACTCTGCTGGACCTGGGTTCTCCCAGCCTGCACCGAGTCCTTTACCACTACAACCAGCACTACGAGAGCTTTGGGGAGTTCACTTGGCGCTGTGAAGATGAGCTGGGGCCCAGGTAGGCTCAGGAGCTGGGTTGGGTAAGCAGACAGGCCCGCCCACCGACATGCTTATCCCTCATAGATGTTGGTCACCAGGAAGGTGGTTTTCTGGCAAATCTCATGAATTTGTTTGATGATAGAGCTTAGAGTCTCAGAGTGGGGTGCCTGTTTTGCTGGATGCTGTGCATATGTTTGGGGTCCAGCCATTGTCCCTTGAAGGACCATAAACATAGGACAAGGTCGAAGGTGGTAGACCATTGTCAACCCATCGTCCTTGTCCATTCCACCAGTACTGTACTGTCTCTGGAGTTTTGCCTAGTCCGTTCATGCCATGCAGAGTGAGAAGGGGAAGGGATTCTCTTTTTCCCTCAGTAGCTGCTGCCACAAGAAAAAAGGCAGAAGGTCTTGGAAAAATAGTGCACCTTTGAGGAAAAGAGGTTGTTGTGGGTGAGAAGGGAAGGGAGCATGATTGGAGCGCGTTGCCTGGCCCCAGGCGTTGATGGAGGGAAGATGGTGCAGGGAGGTGGTTGTAGCTTCAAGCCTCCTAGAGAAAGTGACACAGAAGAGTTCGGTTGTGGAAGCTGCTGGATGAAGTCTGTGCGAACACACATACATGTGCTGAGCCATGCCAAGGTCAGACTTGGGTTTCCTCCTTTTCATGGGCTTTGGCTTGAGTTAAATGCATCTCTTTGTGTTGAACTCACTGTCACTTGTGGGCCGAAGCAGGCAGAGGGTTGACCTTGGGTCTGAATTGCACACGTGTCCCCTCCCTTTTGATCTATGCTTGTGGTTGTGTGGGGTGATCTCAGGGACACAAGTGGTTTTGGTGCCCAGGCAGTGCTGAGCTACCATGGCATGTGTTGGAGGAGGTTGCGCTGAGCCCTTCCTACGTGAAACAGTCCTTTCATGCCTCTGTGAGCACCATGTCCTCTCCCCAGGCTCCTCCAGGTCACTGCAGCCCCTCCAGCTGCCTAGGGATGGGGTGCCTCGTGCCCCAGGCTTGCAGAGGCATCCAGATGTTCACTTCTCCCCATGTCCTTTGACATCTGCTTTTGTCTGCATGGTTTCCCAGTAACGTGGATGTTTCCAGTCAGTTTAGCAAGCTGGGCTGGGAGATTGTGTGGGCTGCAGTGGTGTTTCATGGCATCTGGCCTCCAAAGAACTGGAGCCTTGAGCCTATCTGAAAATCAGGATTATTTCAAACGTATGTCAGCAGCAGCTCCTATCTATGAAATTTATGGCCTCTACCTTACCCCCTGCCCCACACCTCCTCTTGCTGGTCTCACCAGCCCTGCTTCTCCAGGTGATCACTTGTGGATTTCTAGCAGAGGACTGGAGATCCCACATACCTTCCCTGTCCTCCAAACTTCTGCTAGGGGGTCAGAAAGACTCAGCTAATAGCTGGTGGCTGTCTTGCACTTAGTGTCTTAGGCATGTCTCCTAGTTCAGCTTTGGTGGGAAACTCCCAAGAGATCCTCCACCCCTGGGGCAGAGCTGGGCTCTCTCCTCTTTCCCCTTTTCTCATTTATGTTCTAAGAAATTTGAACTCTTTGAGGCAGAGCCTCAAAGCTCAGTAGCGACATCCCAGCGCATGGAGGCTTCTAGTTAGGACTGAGGCTCCCACCAGCTCCTCTGCCCAGAGTTGCTTCATTCCCACGACACCGAGTGGGATCAGCAGGCTTGGGCTTACGTCTCACCTTTGTCTTGAGCCCAGCTGCGGTGATGCTGCTCTGTCTCCATTTCCAGATGTGAAATCCAGCCCCGGTTTGCACAGACCATCTGACATCTGTTGTGATGGTTTGCGTGAGGACTACATAAAATTCCCTGTGTGACAGACTGGAGTCATCACACAGCCACTGCCATCGCTGAGGCTGAGCATTGCTCACTGCCCCACTGAGGAGACCAAGGACCAGCCAGAACACGGGGTGGAAGCTGCCTCCTTGAGCCCCACGAGGCAGAGGTGCATTGGCACAGAGCAGCCAGAAATGCCACTGAATTGCCCAAATGTTACCGTTGGCTGCGTGAATCTACGATCCAGAGGGTTAATTCCACCCTCTGGAAATTCTGGAGCGCTTAGGATGGGATGACGCAAGCTGCTGATGAAGTGTTTGCAGCTCTCACTCCTTGGAAAGAGACATTTAGGCAGCTGCAGTGGGTTCTGGTGATGACAAATCTTGGAAAGCAGACCTCCTGTTTGATCGTTTGCGAGGGCGAAGCATCCAGACTGGTGGTGACAGGACAAATCACTTGCAGATGACATTATTTAACCAGCAGACAGCATGTTTGTTTGACTGTTGCTGATGCTCCTTTGAAGTCCGGGATGTGGACCCACATGACTGACTCTACCATGTCCCTCCTCCTCCACGGGGCCGTGCCGCCTTCTGGCTCTGCTCGCTTGGGGCGCGCTTGCCCTTCTTCTCGGCCACGCTGGCTGCTGGACCAAAGGAAGCGAGGGTGCGTGCAGATAAACTTGTCTGGGGTTATGAAAGTGAGTCGCTCCCTCCCAGCCCGAGAAAGGCTGCGGAGAGCTCCCGACTTTACAAAAGGACAAGGAATGGAGGGAAAGGTAGGGCATTTTCTACAAAGTAATAAGTGAAAGTAGGATTTGAGGCAAAGCCTGGTGAAATCTGGGCTTTGGGCCAAAATTTATGGGATCATATTCAACGTTCCTGTTAGGGTACCTGTGACGCTGGAGGAAGAGAAGCAATCTTGGCATCTCACCTAGATGTCTAGGTGTGGGGACCAAGACAAGTGAGAGGTTGGCTACCTTGTCATGGCTGGAAGATCTGGCCAGCTTGCACGGCTATCTCCAGAGTCAGCACTGTGCTAAGAACCTGCACATCTCCACTGTGGTCTGGATATGAGCTCTGGGGCTGCAGGTGTCATGTGGCTGCAGAGCTACACAACCTCTTGGTGGCTCCAGACTGGCCCCTCCAAGCTGTAGCCACCTGAAGCTGGCTAGCAAGGGGTGAGCTGTGCATGACCATCTGCACTGTGATGGACCTCTTGAGGGTTTCCTTTCCAAGAAAGCCAAAGTTGGCTCTGGCTGGACCTGGGGTAAATTCATTCCTCTCCAAGGAGCTCTCTCATGGTGGACCTGGCCTGGAGGATGGTACGGAGGGACTGTGGATGTTACTTTATGGTCGGTATACATACCCAGACACAACACAACCCCTGCTTATCCAAGCAAGAATGTGACAAAGAGGGGTTTTTTGCCTTAGCATCATGATTTGTGCCTCTGCTGCCTACTCCTGTGCTGAACAGATGCTGAGTTACAGCTACCAAGGGGATGTATCTTCTCTTCCCTGTCTATACCAACCCACAAACTGACCTTGAAACTGGCTGGGAAGCTTATCCAGCTCCTGAGACACTTAAACTTTTGTCTGGGTTTCCAGGCACATGTGATGCTCACCTGCAAGACACGTCATTTGAATCCATTACCTCCACATTTGCCAGATTCCTTGTAGATCACCCAAAGTGCTAGACAAATTTAAAATGAACATAATGTATTTTATCTGAACAAACTGTTTTCCTTGATAAAAGCATTAGCAACACAATTTTAAGAGGAAAAACATGAAAAGAAGAGAACACAATTGAGGTCATATTTGGCCAGGATCCTCTGCACTCTTCCAATATATCATCCAACACCAGGGGGTGATAATTTAGCACTTTCTCGCTACCAGAACAAGCCCACACCGAGGCTATGTTGCCCTGCGGGTACTGCGTGTCTGTCTTCTGCCGAAGATGAATTCCTCCTGGACCTCTTCTCCCTCTGACACCCAACCTTCTCTCCTGGCTTCCATGACTTGCCTTTCCTCATTTTGCTCTCTGGAATTGGAAGATGCAGAATGCACGTGCAAAGAACTGGGGAGCTCCGCCACATCCCCTGCTCTCTCAGGGCCTTTTTGGATCCAACCTATGCTCTATGTCTCAGTATGTTCCTTCTAGTTTGCACGCTGTCCTTTGAGACACTTTTCCTAAACTGTTACCAAACTTTACAAGTCATGCATCAGGAGAGTCATTCGTGGTACTTACATCTTATGAGGATTGTAATGTTTATCTCACTGTCAGCCTTCCGTGCAGATCCCCCCCAAGCCAGACTAATACAGATGATGGGCATGGTATTTTTAGTGGGGTTTTTTATTATTTTTTTGTAATTTCCTAAATCTCCTTCTTCTTCCTTCCCTTTTTTTGGGCAGTCCTGCTGCCATGCCGGTTTGGGCAGTCACTGCCTACCTCATCCCATGCTCCCTTCTGCATTCTACATGCATTTTGGAGCGCAGCTTTAAGCTAGTCTGTACATGTGTTCAGTGACATCTCCATATGCTGGTCCCCAAAACCACACCTTTCATCTCTATCACATCCCAGTCAGCCATGTGACAGCAAGGGAGCAGTGCTCCCAGCATGCCCACCTTTTCCCTGCCCTGCCATGTCAATGGAGGTGTCCTACACCAAGCCATGCATGACCAGCACAGTTCCCAGACAAGCAACACGTGCACTTCTTGGAGAGGACACACATGGTGACACTGCCCCGGACTGGCCACACATGTCATGCCTGATACCTTCTAGCATTTCTCCCCGCTGCCTGCAGTGCTATTGGCTCCCACTTTCCCATACTGTTATATTTGGGGTCCAGTAGCTTCAGCAATGACTGGTGATGCTATTTGAGTCATTGATGATGTCCATCCCAAAGGGTTTGGGTGTTTCACAGCTACACCTGTGACTGTCCCCTCACGAAGCCCTCAGCAAACCTGGCCTTGTTGTGGGGACAATACTAGGTGGAAGAAGAAGCTGGGACAGGGCAGAAAAGCATAAGACGAGTCTTAAGACCAGTGTAGCAGGTCCAGCACCGCCATGGTGGTGTGGGCACCTTGACCCAGGTAGGGGCTGCTCCTGCATGCATTTGGACTTGCAGTGCTGCCATGGGGCTGGTGTGTCCCCCAGCCCCGCCATCCCTCCTCATCCTGGCGGGGCTGGGCTCTGCTCATCCGCTGTCCTCACTGGCAGCTCTTGCATTGTCTTTTCTCCGTTCAGGAGCTCTCGCAGCATCCTTAACCATCTTTGCTTTTCTCTCCTCATACACTCCTCCTGCCCTTCCCACCATCCCCCCGTGGTGTCTCCATCACCTCTGCCGTCCCCTTGCTGTCCATCCTCCCCCGGCATTTCCCCCCACCCACCCTTGCTGCAGGAAAGCTGGCCTCATCCTCTCGCAGCTGGGGGACCTCAGCAGCTGGTGCAATGGCCTCCTGCAAGAGCCCAAGATCAGCCTCCAGCGCTCGTCCCTCAAGTACCTTGCCTGCCGCTACAGCGAGATCAAGCCCTACGGGCTCGACTGGTCGGAGCTCAGCCGGGACCTCAAGAAGACGTGCGAGGAGCAGACACTGAGCGTCCTTTACAATGACTATGGTGACAAGGACTACTGAGGGTTGTGGATGCCCACTCTCACACTGGCCTTCCCATGGGCATTTGTGAGGGTTTTATACATGGACCCACGGAGGGGGGGGGAGGGTATCGCTGATGTTTCTGGAGACAAAAATTTGGACCAGGGAGTGAAACTAGCTGCTCTGTGCAGGACTGACTCAGTATTAGTTTCTTCTTTGACTTGGCCAAAAGCCTTTCTAGTTAGAAGTCTTGTGGGACCTAGTTTTCTTGGTTTTGTTTTATTCATTTTGCCAAGAGGTTCCTCAGCATCACTGGAGAGGGAGGTTGGGAGGGCACAGCCCTCTCCTGCTACCCCATCCCTGCCCTGGCCGCAGGGACGGTGCCCAAGAGTAGGGGACTCCAGTCATGGGAAAAACATAATGACCCAGCCAGGAAGGGAGAGCTGGTGATGCAGATTTGGGAAAAGTGGAGGCAGGGCATGCAGGTCAGGTTGAGATGCTGATGGTTATGGCTGAGCAAAATAGCCACCAGGCAGCCAAGAGGGTTGGGGTGGGGTGAGTTTTTTTTGTAATTGTAAAGCATGAGGTCTGGATGAGACCTGGCCGAGCCGTGGTGCCATTGCAGGGCAGGTCTGGCGTGGTGTCACCAGCTGGGGTGAGCAGAGAGGGGCGTTCGTGAGCCCATCTCCTCTGGTTGTTCTGTCATGGTCAAAGCCCTCGTCTGCTCCAAGATGCAGAGTCCTCCAGAGCAAAGGCAGCTTGGCCTCAGGGCCAGTGGTCAGCTGGACGTCGTGAGATTTCTTGTGGGACCAAAGTCCTAGGAAGTTGACTTAAAAATCCCTTCTATTTTTTTCTTCATCCACGGTAATAAAGACTTCGAAGCAATATCAGACTACTGCTCAGGAGAGCCCCAGCCAAGACAGCAGCACCCAGACGGCACAGCCGAGGCTGTCTTCTGCACCACCCATGCTGTAGCTGTGGTGTAGCCCAGGCTCTGCATGGCAAGGGGAGCGGGGCATAGTGTACCGCAATGTGGCAGTGCAGGATGGTCCCGCAGGTCCTGGTCCCAGAGAGGGCTCGGTGACACAGCATGGCACGCGTGCTGCTGGGAGTGTTGCTTTCCCATGGCCAGGTTCACATCTGTGGCTCTCACCGGTGACTTTTTTTTTTAAACCAGAGAACTGGGGTTGTCCTGGGACACTGGGCTCAGTTCAGAGCAAACTGTTGTCCAAAACCCTGTTACCACTGATGGTGTTGGAGGCAGCAAACGGCTTCCTTTTAGCTTCATCTTCCAGCCTTGTTTGCAGAGGAGGCATCTCTGGATTTGCCAGCTGTGCACCTTTGATCTGGACAAGCCAGGAGCCCTACAGTGGGATTTTTATGATGGCTCTTCAGAGAGAAATTTCCTTTTCATTTTTTTCAGCCTTGGCAGGAGCAATCTTCAGCCTGTCTCTTATAATTTTCTGCCTCATTCCTCCTGCTACCTGCCAAGGACATGGCTCGAATATTTGCGTGGTGCTGAGAGGGAGGTGGCTGTGGTCTGCAGCCGGTCACAGCCGACAGTGCTGCATCACAGTATTTGCTCAACAGCAGTTCAGTATCTTCCTGCAGGACCACACAGTGCTTTGCTCTTCCCGTCTCGTGGGCAGACCTCTCCTCCTGGACCGGGGAGCTGCTGGGAGCAGCCACCAGCAGTCAGTATTACCTGGGCATCCCGGTGTCGTTTCTGTAATGAAAGGGTCCATCAGGTGTCCTTGGGCAAACACCTGCTCTGTGCAAGAAGGAAGTCTACTGGATCCTTTTGGCTTTTTCTCACATGTTTCTCCTTACATTTTGATGTGCCTGATGCTGCCAAGGGCTTGGGGCTCCGAGCAAGACCAGCGCTGTGTCCGTGCGCAGGTATACGTGAGCAGGTGATCCGTACTGAGCCGTTGCTCCTTTCCCTTTCACCCACCGGCAGTCTTGGCCAAGGCGCGTTGGTTTATCCCCTTGCTTCTCCCAGCGGATGCTGAGACAACTTTTAACTTTCAGCCGGGCAGCCGTCCAGGGATGGGCAAAGGGCACCTCCGCTCCCCGCCTCGGAGGGATGCTAGAACGAAGGCTGCTCTGGCCCAGACACGACTTGGTTGCTCGCCAAGTAATACCGCTTACGTGGCCTTTATATGAAACGCAGACTGTTTTCCTTCGGGTAGCAGACTCCTCTCTTTTATTGCTTACTAGGTGCAGCAGCGGGGACGGGAGCGGTGCGGTCTGCCAGCCACTTGCCGTGACGCTGCCAGGAAAACCCCGGACGCCCCACGCGTTCACACCTGCCTAAGTTACTTTTTCGTCTGGCCCCAAGATTTGCGCTGGAGGTCTGCAGATATTTTTGTTCTGCTTCTGCGCTCGCATTTCAAAGCCCTTGCGTGGTCAACCAAGACCCTGCAGCAGCATCAGCCAGCTGGGCCAGACTCTGCTCCCTTGGCCCCAGCTTCCCCATGGTTTGGGAGATGGACCACCCCAGAGGGTGAGGGGAAAGCCACCCATCCAAAGTACTTTGGCAACACCCTTGCACGGTTGGATGGGACTTGGCATCCCCAAGCCGTGATGGGCCATTTCAGCCCGAGACCGCGCAGTCTGCTGGTGGGGCTGTGCTCCGCTTGGTTGACTCCCGTGGTGTTGCTGCACCCGCTGTGCCGGCAGGGGCAGCCGGAGCGCGGTGCCGGCAGTTCCTGCCGGTGTGGCACGTCTGTGGGGCCATTTTCACGATGGCTCTGGCTTTGTGAAGGTTTCCTTCTTGGTTTCCTTGCTCTGGCTTTGCAGCTCAGAATTTTGCCCAAACTTGGCTTTTCTTGCCACAGTCCCTCGATTAACACGTGAGCCCATCTCAGACAAACTCCAGCAGCCTTCCATGGGGGCTCACACCAGAGCCGGGGGCGGCGGGAGGGAATTGCACCATGGCTGCAGACCCAGCCTTGGTGAGATGCGTTGTGTGGGGCCATGGGTGAGCCCTGAGGCGTGCCCTTCCCTGCAGAGCCAACACCATCCACATCTGCCACGGGGTCCTACTGTTGGGTCTGCACGGTATCTTCTCTCTTGGGCTTCTGGTTCTTCCCACGCTGCCAGCCACACGAAAGCTGGAGAAGACACTGTTTTCCATCCATTTCTGCAACCTCCCTCGCCACACCCCCCGCCCTCTCTTCTTGTTTTATTTCTGAATTAATGAGCGATTCACCTGAGATGAACCTCTGGGTCCTTATCTTTTCTTTACTGCACCCATACCCCTGTAATAGCATTACTACCTTTTACTTGTCGTGGAGTTATTTAACATATAAAGATGGTTTGGTCCTTTTCTTTACAAAGATGGCTACAATTCATGTTCCTTGATGTTCTATTAAAACTCTAATGTGACGTTTTACTACTGTAGATTGAAAGTAGGGTGCTTTAGGGTGAGATAGCCACGTGGCAAGAAATGCGAAACCCTTCCGGATTACTTAAAAAAATAATAAAAAAAAAGTTTTAAACAACAGCAACAAAAAAAAAAAAAGTCATTGTAACACTATGTAAAACTCCAGATGATAATTTAACCGACTATTAAACGGAGCTGTTAGTAATCCGTGGCTCTGGCAAACTGGAATGTTTGTTTATAGTTTTGGTCCAGTTGATGTCATCTTTTGGTAGCGGATGAAACACTCCCAGCCTTTGAACTCGGGTACGTCTTCACACAAGTTTAGCATTAGCCTGTCTGCCCACTGGGTTAGCCAGGTCCCGAACCGCTCAATAGACAGAGCCGGAGCTGTGTCCGGCACTTCGCCTCGCCTACCTGCTCTGCCGGGCACGGGAAGGTGTGGATGGCTGCAGGCACCTTCGGGTTTTGCGGGGGGGAAGACTGCATTTAAATACTCTTTGCAACGGGCTCTCAGTCCTTGCTTTGCAAACCTCCGTGGATGCTTGGAATTTGGAAGCAGAGTCCAAAAAAACTTCCTTTTAGCCTGGGTTTGTTGTTTTTTGGTTTTTTTTTAGTGTATAAGGTGGATGAGATGGTGCTGTCTGGTGGTCAGCCACCCCCTGAGAACTTCCTGGTCCATCTGGCAGACTTTTGACAGAGGGCTAGCAGCATCAAGAATATTAAACGATGTGAAAACCAGTGCCTGAGCAGAGAAGAGAGCTGCAAAGGCTACCTTTAAAGTCACTTATGGTGCAGCGTGGTGTCTAGTGCTCAGGCCATCGGCACTTGTAGCGGCTGGCCCCTTGGCCAAGCCCGGAGCGTGTTGCCACCTGCCCTGCCAGATGGGTGGGAGACCTGGGGAGAGCTGGGGATTACTGCGGGCGGGCAGACAGGAGGCCTGGGAGGACATGGGAGAGGGGGAATTTAGGGGCTATAGCGCATGAATCCATAGGAAACCAGACTTCATTAAGTCTCATGGAACAACTTGATTTTTATTTTTTTTCTCTTCCCACTGCTAAATTGCAGGAAAATAAGCTAAAAATACACCCGATACTTTCCTTCTGCTGTTTTTCCATGCAGTTAAGTGCTGTGGCTGCCATCGGCTCATTGCACAATAACCCGGGGCTGTGGAACGAGACGCAAAGAGGAGGAAGAGAAGGAGGAGAAGGCGGAGAGGGGCCGCGTGGCAGCGAGGCACGCAGTCGCAAGCCTGAGCTGCTGTGTCAGAAGGTCTCGGCACGGCTGGCTCCATCACACCTTTGCCAGAGCAAGATCTCCTCAGGGGTCACCTGGCTTGCAAGCGATGGGGGTTTGGAGAAAGCCACCCCAAAAAAAGATTGTAAAGGATGCATCACCAGCTGACACAAAAATGGCAGCGGTTTAGGAGGGGTTTGGTAATGTGTGTGTATGTGGAAGGGTTGCTGTTGGCCAGCGGTCCCTGTTAATCTTCAGAAAGCAGGAACGAGCAGGGATTGCTGCATTTCAGCACATGCGTGAACAACATGGCACCACTGGAGCCCTCACTGTGTCCCCATGGTCCCCGTTTCTTAATGACGGACCGCGTGGCCTCCTTGAGCATCGTAGGTGCTTTTGACAAAGCTTTTCAGATCCAGTTTGTGTTGCTGAAAGAGCCACCACTCTGCTCAAACACGCAGGATGGGAGAACAGCTCGTCACTCAGCTACTGCTGTAGACAGCTGCCCCTTTTGATTTAAATGCAAGACCTACAACTGGGGTCCTGGTTGCTCGGGGCTGTGGAGCCC